GCGGGGACTGCCAAGGGAGGAACAATAATTGTTGATATTTCAGAAGATCATCGTCTATGAAAATATCTATAAAATAGAGCCAGATCGCCAACTTTTCGACGGTGTTCCAGAGAAGTTAGTGAGTTTGTGAGCGAGACATCACCCACGAGACGAATTCAAAAAACAACATGACATCTAAACTATCAGGAATTGATATACGCCAATTTGAGAGCAAATGAAATAGTAATTTTCCCAACAAGTGCGGAAAGTGATACTTTCCCTCATGCGAATGCCGTTGACCCGAACGACGCGAAGCGGACAAGCGTAGGAAAATGATAGATTTGTTCAATCAATTATTCCTGCAAATGGGACCAACTAACAATAGTGATATATTCTCTATCTTCTAATAATTAGTGATATATCTATTGTGTGTACCGTTTGAAGCATTATGTAGGTAAGCTTATTGCGGAAGCCAGCATGCCCATGGTGTTTGGCCTCTATGTTTCAGACATTTCTAGGAAATGAGCCAAAAATACTTCTTCTTTATTTTGCGTTTTCACTTTTTTACTATTGCACCATTCAATGAATTTCGTGTAGTGCTTCTCATACCTTTCCTAAGACTTCGTTGGCAATAACTCATCTGTATCGCATCTGTAGCGTAGCTGGAAGTTTTTTATTGCAATTCTACTGAATCGAAAATGACAGTAACGCTCTGTCTGTCACTCTGAGAATTACACTAACTAATTTGTGTTTTGATTGACATGACAACAATTGTTTTCCAAATCAGATCAATTAAAGGCTATACAGTGCAGACTCAATAATCCGAACGTTCAATAATCCGAATTCTTCAGTAGTCCGAACAAGCATTTTTAATACATTGAGTACTCTATAATCCGAATTTCATAGTACTCGATATTCCGAAACTATACCTTTAGGTCTATTTATTTCCTATAGAAATTGTGGTTCGGAGGCATTTAAGAAATCATGATTTGCCTGAAAAGGCGCTATTAATCATAGATAATGCCTCAAGTCATGGAACTATAGAAGAGCTAACTAGTGAAGATGGAAGATTTACAGCATTATTCCTCCCACCAAATTGTACAGCACTCTTGCAGCCTATGGATCAAAATGCTATCCGACTAACCAAATTATTTTACCGAAAAAGCCTTTTAGCGCACATTTTGTCAAATAACGAAGACAGCGTTGTTACATTGTTAAAAAGGCTTAACCTAAAGGATGCAGTCTGTCTGCTATGCAACGCTTGGGAAAAGGTCTCTTCACAAGTCTTGCAGAAGTGCTGGAACAGAATTATTTCAGACAACAATGAAGACATTGAATATGATGCCGAGGATCTAATTCCTTTAAGTGAATTACGCAGCAATATGCTTTCTGTAGATGGAGATATGGAAGGTAGGTAATTTTTTTTAATGTTTTTTTGCAAATTTTTCCTATCTAACTCTAATTTTTAGAGGTTGGTGAAATGCTTAATGTTTTGGCAAAGCCAAATCTTACAAACGTGAAAATATGTAATTGGGTGGAAAATAATGAAGATTTGTTACCGTTAGAAGAAGCAGATGAAGATGAACCTGAAGTTAGCGACCATGAGGAATTAGATGATCCAAACAAAACTGTTAAGCACTCCGAAGCAGCTGAAAGTTTTTATCTGTGTTTGAAATGGGCCGAAGAAAATAATATTTCGTTAAATGATATTCTTGTACTTCAAAGATTAAAAGAAATGGCCTTTATAAATAATCAAAGATGTGTTAAGCAAACAAAAATTACAAATTACTTTAGAAACTAGTATTATATTCTTACTTTTATGCATATTTTAGTGTTACTTTTTCGTATTTGTTTTTTTTGCATTTCGTAATAAAAAATTTAAAAAAAAACTGCTTCGGTAATCCGAATATTTTGGTAATCCGAATCGCCTTGGTTTTTATTAGTTCGGATTATCGAGTCTGCACTGTATTATTATTTTTCAATGTTTCTTCATTTTCACAATAAATACTGCAACAAAAAAACATAAAATTTTCATATTGTGTCACCCACCACTAATATTTTGCGAGAATATTATATAAATGTTTTTCTCGCAATAGAAAAACACAATTTTCGCCTTTTTCCGATATACGCCTCTTGGTAATTTCACCGACGATATCTTGCTGTAGCTTGTAGGTGAATGGAGATTTTAATTCAAACATATTCTTCCTTTTTTTTCCACGCGATACATTCATTCAGTTTTATATGCCCACTGACAACTTCTACAACAGTAAGAAAGAGCCTTGAATACGTTATGAAATAATTGAAATTGTTAGAGGCAGCAAATTGCAGCAATCGAATAAGTCATTTCGATGGATGCGAAAGCGATGTCGAGATGTTCTGTTATAATAACAAAAGATTCCGTTCCGGGCCAGATGGAGGAACCTCGTGCAAGTATGGCAAGTGAAAGTCATAATATCGTGAATAATTATTATACGCTCCTAGAATATTTGTGCCGCGAATGAATGAATATTGAACTCATCTTTCGCGAAGATCTTGCGTGGTTAAAACTTGTGATTAAGTAATTATCGGCGTTGTTCCTCGCCCTCTAGGGGTTTCACACGGCTTTGGCTAAATTCCGATTCAGTCACGTCTTGTCTTATAGTAGGGAAGCCAGTTATAGGCCTGCATGCTCCGTGGGTGACGTCACTTAGTCAGGCCTAACCAGCGGCTCGAAACGACAAGCGCTTATAGCGCTATAAGGCGACCGCGTATTTCGATTTTAGTTTTAGATCATTATTGAGCCGATTTTGCTTTTTTTTTGAAGGGCTTCCGGTTGAAAGAGGATGCCAGCCGTCAACTGAGTCCTTCTTCGCATCCCATTCGATTTTATTATGGAAAAACGAAGTTTCAAAGCAAAAACCAGATTATAACACAAGTACCCACCTACAGCAACCCATTCGAATTAAATATATTGGCAAAAATTGTAGTGATTCAATCTCATTAGAGGTAAACTTCACACCTACTTATACAGGGCCCGCAGAACATGAACTTATCATGAGATTGATCGAAAGAAAATTGGGGAAAATGTATTTTAGTTTGATAGACATGCCGTTTGTTATACCTAATTACCTATATTCATCTTGGAGAATTCCTATTACCTAAAAAATTAGCCAGTATGTGTTTTCAATTTCCTGTTGTTGGATTTTTTACCCAATTGGTCGTTAGACTTGAAACAGTAATTTTTAAGTAGAGTGTTTGTAGTACATGTTGATATAATAGTTGCAATTTGATCATTGGAATGAATTCTGCATTCATTGCCACGAGGCAAATGACCGTTTTCAGAAAGAAATTTGAGAATGTATTGAGTCAGAAACCAAAGAGTCCAATGCATTCGAAATATGTTTCAAAACCCTCTTTTTCTGATTATCAAGACATTTTCCCGAATTATGTATCTCGTTTTTATCTATTTCAATCAGTAATTCCTTGATTTGATTGATATTATTAGAGATAAAAGGTGTTTTCAGATTGGCTTTTAGAGATGTTTGTATCGCTAGGTCATACAAAAATGATTCCACATTCAAAACAAAATCAATCACAACCGAATATGTAATTACGGGCCCTGGAGAATAAGACAATTTGAATAATGTGACTTTTTGCAAATCGATAATTTTGAACCTCTTTTCGGGCAACTGAAAAGACTCCTATACAACTAGAAATTCTTGAAATTCTGTGTAGCAAAATGATTTTTGGTAATTTTCGAATTCAGTTTTACTTTTGGTAAGTGCTTGTGCCAAATTTTTAGTCTCTAGTATCTCAAGTTTTTCATCACGACTTGTGCGTAATTTTACATCTTTCGATAAATAAGATGGACAGTTGGGAAATTGAGTGGGAATAACATCTCGTTTGAGCCTAGGAATTTTCAAATCTATTTTTACAGTTTTGCCAGTTTTTGAATCGGTTGCAGTAGATGAAGTAATAATATCATCTTTAGTAAAATGTAATTCACATACTTTACTGTACTTAGATGGAGTCGTAAAATCCTTGCGGTGAATTGCATGTACCCACTTTTTCGATAGTTCCTTGTCCAACGGGAAACTAAAAGCATGAACTTTTGGACCACCCACATAATTCCCCCGACAAAAGGGAACACAACACTTGTAAGGCATTGTTATTTCGCCTATCACAACACGAAATATTTCACAAAACAGTAATTTCTCCGCCAATTATTTTGATGAATAAACAACAAGAGAATTCGAGCACACACGCGATTTACCTACGCCACCGTTCTTAAACAAAAACAAACCGACGATCGATCGACGCGAATGCCTTGGAAGATGGCCTGAGTATGCGACGTCACGAGCTGTTTACGTCAGAGTCTGCTGGCCTTGTTTTATCGGTGGTAACGGCCAGTAGCAGATTCTTGCGATCCTCTCAGCTGATAATTCGTGGAAAGATTGAGATAGTTGTGTCTTGAACCCAAAAAATCATCAGCTGTGCGATTAGGCATGGACGGCTGCCATCGCCCAGCCCACCCGCGATCGCACAGCTGATGATTTTTTTGGGTTCAAGACACAACTATCTCAATCTTCTCACGAGGTATCAGCTGAGAGGATACTGGTCGCAAGAATCTTGTACTGGCTCCCCGACTATTACCGTTAGGAGGAGAGCCGGCTGCAAATTTCTACTGTCACCTGAAAACGAAATGTTATATTGAAAAAGGAATATTCTCAGGTATATTATGAACATGAAAAAATGGATATACAGAGTGACCCATCTGAAAGAGGGCCAGCCTCATAAATTCTTTATTTATGGAGCGATTTTCTCGAATGTTTTTCCGAAAAGTGTCTTTTCGAGCTAAGCGGTGTCCATTTTCATAAAAAAACCAAGGCTACTAGATCACATTCAGAGGCTAGAAAATCCAGAATCCATATTAGCGATTTTTTTATAAAAAAAAACGGGTACACCACTGGAATTTGCGTCCATTCTGACTTTCAGTTTTTTCTCCTTTGTCAATTTGCTAAATCTTATGTTTTTTTTTTCAGCTATTACAAAATCTGGGGAAAGTGGATAGGACGGCGGATGAAATTTTCGACGAGCATTTACAAAACTTCACAAGGCAACAAAATGCAGCCAACAGACTTCAAAAAGAATTTAATAATTACATTAGGTGTATAAGAGGTGAGTGGTTCATCCTATTTATTATAAAATGATTAAGTGTTGCTATCATAATTATGTGTATTTTTATAATATGATTATTCGTTCATAATTTCTACAATCAAAATTTAAAAACTAGGTATTCTAATATACCAATATTCACGATTATTGCATTTAAGTTCAATTTTACCAAACCGTTTCGTGAAATTAAGCATGAACTAGTTCGTAAAAAGTCCGGAAAATACTGTTTTTCTGCAACCGACACTAAAGTCGTCCATTTTGATACCAAAATTAGCTCTTAAATTGACGTTTCTATTACTGACACAAATATAGGTATGTTGCTGGGCAACATATTTAGTTCCTAGGAGCTAAAGTTGAATTTTAGTTCCTAGGAGCTAAAGTTGTACTTTAGCTCCTAGGAACTAAAAAGGATCTACTGGACGTCATCAAGAATCAACAACATTGTGATGGTTGGTTATTTGGGTTGAGACGCATACCTGATTTGTTTCCGATTTCAGCAGATTTGGCATTTCAAACCCATGCTAGAGATATAAATACACCTTATCATAGTTTAGTATTGGAATTATAAACATCTCAGTTAAGTATTTTTGTTTTGATCAGGGAAGCCTTCAAGATTCAAATACTTGCTTGATCTGTATTTCATTCGTTATTCTCGGGATATATAACTTGTTTTTGAATAATCACGGCAAGCAATAGTTTTTTTGTCTCAAACAACGATATTGTTTAGCTTCATTTGATTATCGCAAGTCAAACACAGTGTAGTATGGAGAGGAATAAATAATCACCATTATCATTGTTGATATGCTCACTAACCTAACATTTTCCACGTCTTGTTCCTATACCTGGCACTTGAGCGGTATTTGCCATTAGAGCATCTGGTCTATACACAAATATGTAATTCTGTGGTTGTTTTCATATTGAAACTACAATTCGAACATCCTAAAAAACCTAACCTGCTGTTAGTGCAGGTAGAATATTCTCACCACATAGATTATTTGTCAATATTTGTTGCATTGCATACATATGGCACGGCATTGATGGTTACTTCACATGTTTATTTCAGTTAATTGTTTCGGTTGCAGAAAAAATAGCATGTTTTATTCGGATCAAAAGTGACTTTGTTCGACTTGCAAATTTTGCTTTCGCTCGGCTTCGCTAAACGCTCCGCCTCGCAAATGCAAAATTCGCTTGGCAAACAAAGTGTCACTTTTGATCCTAATAAAACAATCTACTATTTTTGGTAGTCTGCCAATCTACAAAAACATTTTACATATATTCTCTCGGCATCAAGTTTTTTATGATGTTCATTTCAGAACAAAATCAGGAAAATATCGAAGCGAGGAAAATATTCATCTCAAATTTTCAACAGTTGCTGATACTGGGGCGTACTAAGGGGATTGAAATTTTTTCAAATGCTTGGTGTATCAAAATGTCTATTCTTTACATTACTCTTCACTCCGCTTTACTCTAAAAAAGGTACCTACTCTTCAGCATATACAGGGTGATTCATAACTATTGAGACATTAGACTAAGATTGTTTGAACCAAAATATGGCGATAGTATACCGAATATGCCTCAATAAAATATTGCTGTGGAAAAAGATACAGGGCGTTAAATTTGATTTTTTTTTCATTTTTTTGCTTATAATTTCAGTGTATAGTCATAAATTGCTATCGTAATAGGCATCGAAGCATAATTTTATATAGGGAATATTATTTCATGTGCCACTTGAATTATCTCTGATGATGTAATCGACTGATAACTTTTTTGACGAAACTTTTTAGTGATTTTGAATGAATTATATGACATATCCATCATTTCTACGTAATATTGGTATTCTTGTTCAAAAACGATATTTTCATCTGTTTTCGAGAAAAACGCAATTGAACAGTTCAAAGTATCGGAAGGGGATTTCAAAAAGAATTTCTTTTATGAAGAGTGTGCTTTGAACTTTCAGATAATTGTTGCTGGTGAATTACATTTCTTGTCAGTGAATGAGTTTTGGTGCAAGTTTATAGTCAGATCTTTTTCGATTGAAACACCCTGTATCTTTTTCCGCAGCAATATTTTATAAAGGCATATTCGATCCTATTGCCATATTTTGGTATGAACAATCCGTCCTTAGCCTATGTCCCAATAGCTATGACTCACCCTGTATTAAAGTACTTATGCTAAAGTACATGCTCCACAGGGTAGAGGATTCCACATTTTTCGATTTTTCTGACAAATAACAAATAAGCCAACACTACATCCTCTGTGAAGGTTTTGCATTTCATCATGTGAATGAGATTGTTATCAGTTTTGATGAAGATGACCCTGTATTTTTTGATTTGACTGACAGTGTCAGATATTTTTATGATATTTCATGTTTGAACTGTAAATTGGTGAAAAATAAAAAGGAAAAACACAGTTCATTATAATTTGTCTGAATCCATCCGAGGCTATCAATTTGTTGGATTCTTACATTGGTCCTTCGAGAAATGTCTCTTCCGGAAGTTGCGAGAAATAGAAGAAGTACTAGGAACAACTTTGGCATCCCTCCAAGGAAATTTGGTTTTGGGGCGGAGGTAGCGACGGAAAATGTTTTAAGGGAAGAGAGAAATGCTGAAAATAGCCAAAGAACTAAATCAAGTACCTCATCTGAAGATATTGACGAGAGAAAACGTCAACTGGAAGCAAAAGAAAGAGAATTAAGAATGGAATTGTTGGAACTGCAATTGAAATCAATTCATGAAGAAAAGGAATCTCTAAAAGGAACTAGTTCTAGAGCATCAAGAAAAGCAAAGACAAAATCAAGAGTTGAGTCTGTAGAAGAAAAAGATGATTCGTATGTGGCCAAATGGGCTGAAAATGCTAAAGATTTTCGAGGTGAAGAATTTTACTGGGAGAGCATAAAAAATGTTGCTGAAAATAAAAGTGTACTTCCTGAAGGTGAAATCTGTTCAGGTGCCACATATGATTTAGTCAATTATGATAATATGAAACAAAACAATTTCCCAGAAATGTTGACAAAATGCATGGATAACTTGAGTTTCAATATTGAAAAATTAGTTACTAAGCAATCACTAAAGCCTCTACCTGATTTCTATGGCGATATCAATGAGTTTCCATTTTGGATAAGCGAGTTTCAACGATCTACAGAGGAAAGAAGAATTTCACCATCAGACAATTTAAATCGTCTGCACAGATGTTTGAGAGGTCGAGCGAGAGACACTGTTAAAGATTTATTTTGCAGTCCTGATAACGTGAGCTTCATCATAGAAACTTTGAAAATCAATTTTGGCAAAGATGAGTGGATAATTATGAGCCAAATTGAAAAAGCCAGGAAATGTGCGAATCCACGAGAAGATTGTGTAGAATCCTTCATGCAATTCTCATCCACTGTATCTAATATGGTCGTGGCAATGAACAGTACCGGTTGTCAATCTTATTTGGAAAACCCAGAACTATTGTATAAATTGGAAGAAAAATTGCCGAAAAGCTCCAGACGTGCATGGGCTCAGATCAAAGTAGCTAAGGAACAAATCAAGGAAAAGACTAATTTGAAAACTTTCGCAGAATGGTTGAAATCTGAGGTGAAATTACTGATGTCAATTAATGTGCCGAACCAAGTATCAGTACCACCTTCGAATAAATATGCCATGCAAAGGAAAGAAAAAGTATTCAATGTTCAGACTAAACCACTGATGAATTGTAGATTATGCAATAACGAACAACATCGACTTGGGTATTGTACTATATTTTTGGGCATGGGCGTCGACGAAAGAAGAAAATATGTGGAAGAAAACCGTTTATGTTTCAAATGTCTTATCCATGGTCATAGTGCAGCAAAATGTTTTCGTAAAATTTTCTGTAATATAAACCAATGTAGAGGGAGACACAATAGACTTCTGCATCAGGACAGAGAAGATTCAGCTGCACCAGTCCTTGCTGTAGCTGTTCAAGAAGTTTCGATGGAAGACAAGAAGGATGGTCCAATTGAATTTACCGGCATGATTGGTCAATCATCTGCACTTCTTAAAATCATTAAGGTTCGGCTTTATGGTCCTAAAAATAATATTGAAACGTTTGCTCTACTGGATGAAGGATCAACAATTACCATCATTGACTCGGATATTGCCAAATCGATCCAGTTAGATGGACCAAAGGTTCCGGTGTGTTTGCAGTGGACGAATGATATAACGCACAGCGAATCTGATTCACGAATGGTAAATTTCGAAATTTCTGGGACTGGAGAGGAAAAGAAGTTCAAGGTTAAAAATGCAAGAACCATAAAAAATTTAGTTTTGCCAAGACAACAGCTGGATTTGGATTATTTATGTTTGAGATATAAATATATTGACAGAAGCATTCTAGAATCGATAAAAAATTGTAGACCTACTATTTTGATTGGCCAAGATAATGTTTTCCTCATAAACTCCCAAGAGTTCATCCAACCAAAGTTTGACGTTCCTGCAATGAGTAAAACAAAACTAGGCTGGGTGATTCATGGTCCCAATCCAATTTCTAATGACACAATTTTACATATCAACTTGTGTCAACATGATGACATGTATTTACAAAAGATTATTGAAGATAACCTCAAGTTGGAAGATTCTGGTCTGAATGATTCTGTTGAAATGTCGAGAGAAGATAGCAAGGCATTGGAAATTATGCAGAGTACAATCAAGAGAATTGGCGAACGTTTTGAAATAGGATTACCATGGAAAAATAAAAATGTTGTATTTCCTGAAACCAAAGCACTAGCTATCAAAAGATTGCAATGTATGGAGAGGAAAATGGATCAAGATCCCCAGTTTGCTTCTGAATATTGTAAAAAGATTGATGAATACTTGACAAAGAGGTATGCTGAAAAAATTTCTGATGAAGAAAACATGGTAGACAACGGAAAAGTATGGTACCTTCCACATTTTGCAGTGAAGAATGTCAACAAGCCTGGAAAAATTCGTTTTGTGTTTGATGCTGCAGCTAAGAATTCAAACATGAGTTTGAATGATTTCTTA